TACTTTCCATTCTTTGTGTAACATTTCGACTGGTCAGGGCTGACGAGCAAGAGAAGCTGACTACGAACAGCACCATCATCCAAAACGGATCAAACGTCACCAAAGAGTTAGACACAAACTTCTACCTGGGCGTTTATGGAGGTGATCTAAAAACATACGTTGTCATTGGCTCAGCACATCACCTGCGCTGTCCTTACTGTGTGCTGTGTCACTGGTGTAAAGGAGAATCTTCTGCCGCTTACAGGTTTGACTGTAGCCACCATTGCTTTCGGCTTTATCAGGAATTTGATCCTGTTCAACGTGCTGGTGAGGTGTGCACAGGCCCTGCACAACCGCATGTTCAACAGCATACTCAGAACACCCGTGCGCTTCTTTGACATCAACCCTATTGGTGAGCAAAAGTTTAAACATGACATTTAGCTATTAAGCATTTTTTGATAGTATTTGGGGCTAATAGTAATGCATATGAAAAGTCACTTGCAAGGAAATATCTTCCCCTCTTACCATTTTAACTCTTAACTGTAAAATTGGGGAGTTCTAACTACTTGCAAGCATTTAGACGGCCCGGTTGATCCAATAATCCGCTTCCTGAAAGAATTATTGGAGCTTTACTAAATTTTGTGTGGGGGTGGATCACTAACACTAACTTTGATTTCACTACAATCAGAAGATTCATTCTCTACACAGTTATAAATTATAAAGCTAAATGTCCCACAGCATGACATTCTCTATATTCTCTCCTGTCTCACATCAGGAAGAGTCTTGAACAGGTTTTCAAAGGACATTGGCCAGCTGGATTCCAACTTGCCGTGGACGTTTGTAGACTTCATTCAGGTGAGGAGAGACTTCCCAGCAGTGTTACAGCAGCTCATTAGAGAGTTGATGAATACTAATAACCACGTGGCCATTCAATCTGTCATCTTAAGTTGAAGAACACTGCATAAAGGTTATTAAAATAAGATGACTGCTGCCACTCATGGATATATCTGAGTACTGTGTCATCCTCTTACTTACTTATGCCTGTAAGCGTTCAAAGTTTTGCTCAAAGCTTTAAAAGTTTCACTCAAACCACTTTTGCAGAAAGAAAAGAAAAAACAATTAGATTTACAATAACTTGTAAATGGCAATATTAAGAAATTTAATTATTGACCTTTTAAAAACAATTTGTTCAAGTTATGTCATTAAGAATTTGACTCAGAAATAAGTGGAAACATGTGAACGTAGCTAGTATTATCTGCGAACAGTAACAAAAACATAGAGTAGATAAAGATGCACTGATGCAGGTCTTTAATGTTTAAGAACAAAAGGGGTTCATGAATGGAGTACAGAGACAGTAACTTAGAGCATATCAAATATCTGGAAAACCCCTTGGACTGTTTGTTTACTGTGTTTATGTATATGTTACAGTGAGTTACTTCAGTCTCTAGTTCTTACGGTCTCCTATTGCTTAGCTTACAGGTCAGATGTTCATACCCTAAAGCAGCATTGATTAACAAATTAACCAGCTAAAATTCCTAATTTAACGTGATTATCGAACGGTAAACAACAGGATTTCAGATGTGAACTTTTTTTTTTTATTTGCATTCTCTCCAATCAGGTGTTCCTGCAGATTCTCGGTGTGATCGCTGTATCGGTGTCAGTGATCCCCTGGATCCTCATCCCTGTGCTCCCCCTCCTCATCTTCTTCATCTACCTACGTCGCTACTTCCTGCAGACCTCCAGGGACATCAAGCGCCTCGAGTCCACCAGTGAGTGTCCCATGATGCAACAGTGTGTGCGCTTCAGTGCTTTATCAGTTTCATGGACAGTACGCATATTGGGCACAACAACCAATATACATGTGCACCCTCTTTTTCATCTGCCCTGCAGCTCGGAGTCCAGTCTTCTCCCACCTGTCGTCGTCTCTTCAGGGCCTGTGGACGATCCGAGCCTTTGGGGCAGAGGAGAGGTTCCAGAAAACCTTCGACGCCGCTCAGGACCTGCACTCAGGTTCTCATCAGCATGTTCACATTCACTAATTATCAAGAGGAAGCTTTTGTGAGCTGATGTCCCTCCAGTGTCTTTAACATTTCCCCATCCTGAACAGCGGCCTGGTTCCTGTTTCTGACCACCTCTCGCTGGTTCGCCGTCCGCCTCGACGGCATCTGCTCCATCTTTGTTGCCGTCACCACATTTGGCTGCCTGCTGCTCAGAGACCGTAAAGAAGATTTTTAATCTTTGTACTGTTGACTATATTTTCAGATATCACCATGTCAGAAATGATTAAATGTAGACATGAATAATATGTTTTGGGATTATGTGGGATCTCAGGTGTTTGAATTGTAAAAGACGTCTTATTCCTGGTTCTGTTAGAGCTGGACGCTGGCTCTGTTGGTTTGGCTCTGACCTACTCGGTCACACTGATGGGCATGTTCCAGTGGGGCGTCAGGCAGAGTGCAGAGGTGGAGAACATGGTAAGATATTCCTTTAGTTTTTGATTTTATTTACAACTTAAGCAGATAAATACTTAGCTGATACATGAAGGATTTATGTGATTTATTTAGTTATTTGAGGTTCATCTTTAAAATTTCTCACACAAAATGAATTAGTAACATTCATTGACAAAACCCAAGAATTTTCACTGAAAGAAGATAGTCCTTCACCCAACACATGCACACATTTCTATACAGTGCTGAGTTTTGGTTTGACCGCATTGGAAACTTAACTAACTCTACTGTCTTCAGATGACTTCAGTGGAGAGAGTGGTGGAGTACACTAAACTGGAGAGTGAAGCACCCTGGGAAACCAATAAGCGTCCTCCTCCTGACTGGCCCAGCAAAGGCCTGGTGACGTTTGATCGGGTCAGCTTCTCCTACAGCGCTGACGGACCGCCGGTGCTGCAGAACCTGAAAGCAATGTTCCGACCCAAAGAGAAGGTCTGAGATCTTCGTCTTCAGAGCACCAGATACTGATATTTTCACATTAAAGCTGAGCAGATGAATGAAACCTTGGCTTCTTCTTCCCTGGGTGTCAGGTTGGTATTGTGGGCAGGACGGGCGCTGGGAAAAGCTCTCTGGTCTCGGCTCTCTTCCGCCTGGCAGAGCCCCAGGGAAAGATCTACATCGATGGTGTTTTGACCTCTGAGATCGGCCTCCATGACCTGCGCCAGAAGATGTCCATCATTCCTCAGGTCAGTATTTGTGTATTAAAAGTGACATCAGTGACATCAGTGATGAGCTCATTTTAGATCAGGAGGAAGAAAGCTTTTATGAGTGAGTGCCTGGAAATTAATGGCAGATTGAACTAAAAAACGTCATTATCTCCTCACAAATTGGTCATAGTTCTGTAGCAATTCTGTAAGAAATACCTTTCCCCACTAAACTGTACAATAGGATACTTTGGCATGTGTCATATTAGAAAGATAGACTGTCCACTAATACAAACTGGGTTATTTTGGACAAACATAAAGCCTATGCTGATTTAAAATATAGAGTTGATACGCTTTTAACATTGGTACGATAATAAACGCCTCCTGAAATTGATGTGACATGATCAGCTAGAGAGGAGATGTATCACTCTGTTGGAAAACACTCAGTCCTGTATGGTGGCGTCAGAGTGGAGGTTCGTCCCTCACAGATGATCTTTGACGAGTACAGACAACACTTTAACCCAACAGACTAATTAGCATGAATTAGTAACAACTGATGTGGCTTGCGTTAGGCGAGGTTTGTCATTAACAGGTAAAAGTGACGCTCAGTACAGTGATTTTCACTCACATGGTGCTAAATGCTCGCAGTGTAGAGCCTGGCTGTCATTAAGGAGAGCAGTGCTGCAGTAACACAGTAAGTTCAGTGAAGAAAGGATCAGAGTTTGATCAGCTTTATTTCTAAGTCTGCTGTAAATAACCTGTGTTGTGTTTGGCCTTGCGGGGTCTTTTTTTGGGGAAAATAGCTGGGCTGAACACAGCTGGCTGCAGTTAATCATTAGTTATAATGCCATTGTTAAATAATCTTAAATTGCTGATGCCCGCACATGGTCAGTTGCAGATATCCAGGATTGTTTTCCTTTTTTAGAAGTCATTTGTTACCATCAATCCCTTCTTAAAAATGGGGGAAAAAACTAGTGAAATTGTCCCAAGTGGATCATCCATTGTAGAAAACAAATATTTAAACTTAATTTGGCCACTTACTAATATTTAAATTTAGTAGTGTTTTCCATGAGTAGTACTTTACACTTTATCACCTACAAGAGTAACTTAATTATACACCAGGACATAATCCCTCAAAAACATGTCATCTTAAAAACTCTTAATACCACACCTGTCTTATTTTAGGATTTATTTTTGGATTCAGTGACTAATCTTTAGAGTGGCGTCTCTTGTTCTCCAGGACCCAGTGCTGTTTACAGGCTCCATGAGGAAGAACTTGGACCCTTTTGACGAACACACAGATGAAGATCTGTGGAACGCCTTGAAAGAGGTCAGTAACACCCAGTTACAGTTATTACTGAGTTTAGACAATCGAAGCTGGGACGTTTTAACCCTTTGAACTCTGCAATCCAAATAGTCCGCCAGTGCCTACACTGTTATTTTTACCTATTGTGATGTAATTTCTATATATGTATATTCAAATGGTTCATATCATTAAAAACCTGCATAACCTCCGCTAAAATGTTATCTAAGTCCTAAACCATAATAATTGATAAAAGTATTGAAATTGTGTGATAAATTTACAAAATAAACCACAAAACATTGATGCAGCTGTACTTGTATAAACTGTTGGGGGGTTTCACTTATAAAAAAAACATCAAAATTAATAAACTTCATATTTGATGTTTGTAAAGTAACTAGTAACTGAAGCTGTCAGATAAATGTAATAAGTTACTGTCCACCACTGATGTTGTTATGGCTCTGTACCACAGAATAGCTCTATTACGGTTTTAATTTTAGATTAATTTAAACAGGATCACAGTTTGTGCTCACACACATCCTGGTCTTATTAATCAATCACAACTACAGAGACTGTCTGGATTATGTAGGCTTTAATTCCATTGTCATGGCTTGGAGATCAGTGCACACAGAGTAATCAGATCTTAATGTTCCCTGCAGGTGCAGCTCAAGTCTGTGGTGGAGGAGCTGCCTTGTAAGCTGGAGACCGTTCTGGCCGAGTCGGGCTCCAACTTCAGCGTGGGCCAGAGACAGCTGGTGTGTCTGGCCAGAGCCATCCTGAGGAAGAACCGCATCCTCATCATCGATGAGGCCACAGCCAACGTGGACCCCAGGTACTGCTGACACGGGTGTCTCGATATGGTAATGTAAAATACTGCCTCTTGACACGCTGTGTAATTTGTGTGTGTAACTGGAGGATTAAACGTGCCACATGGAAAGTCGACAGTGGAGATGAGCTTTTAGGTGTGTTCTGCCTGTAAGAAAAGAGGCACACTACCGGTCAAAAATTTTAAAACATCCCCCATTTTTGAAGTTTGTATTGAAATATAAGTAGTTCAAGTCCAGTGAAAAACATTTACATCACATGTTGTTTCACGGTAGGATCAACCGATGACAAACTGATCTGTCTTCCTTCATTAAATGCCTTTTCAGTTGTAATAAAGCTTCTGAGGGTGTTTTAACACAGGCAGTTCCAAAGTGTTTAAAATATCTACTTGTTCCTAATGTAATGTTAGTTAGCTAACACCACCTAACATAATACTGAATGTACAGTTCTAAAGACCTACCCAGATGTGTAGGAACAGTGTTTATCCTTAATATCGTTGTCCTCTTTCTCAGCAGTCAGGTAAAACCGTAGTTCACTTTGACTCTGTGATCGGTAAGCTTTAGCTTCTGTCTTAATAGCCTCAAAACAACCTTAAAATGTATAATGCAACTGCAAAATTGTCTGCCTCTTTCTGAGATTATTTTTTCCAAAAATTAGACAATAGTGTGGCTTTGCGAAGCCATGCTGCCACTGTCTAACTGTACTCCCTGGAGAAGTATTAATTAATTACTTTTTGGAAAAATGAAAAAAGCAATCTCAGAAAGGTTTGCATTGTGCATTTGAAGGTCATATTCAGCCTGTCAAACAAAGACGGAAGCTAAAGCCTACAGATCAGAGTAAAAGTGGACCACCACATCACCTGACGATGGACAACATTATTAAGGAGCTGTTCACTATTACAATCATTAAAAAGCAGAATATAAACAACTAACGTTACATTAGGAACAACCCACAGCCTACATTTTTCTGGATTTGTTTTAGAAAGGGAATAAAATCATACTTCTCCTATCAACCTCTCTGACTAATCATATCTTAGAAAAAGACTCCTTTTCAGGGCGTGGCAATGCTCTGAATATGCAGCGGGCCAAGCACAGCGCAGAATAGGACTCTCTCTAACGGAGGTCTAACACTTTCATGGCTATGCTCCATTGTAAGTCTGCCTAGGAGTCAAGTTTCCATTTAATGCTGTAATATAAATTTATATTCATATTTGTTGAATTTCTGTTTTTATAATAATACAACTTTTTAAAAGTAGAATAGATAAACTAGCAGGTTACAGAAATCAGACTTAATATCACACTCCACTGTTGCATGACGTCCACGTGTACAGCTGGTTTTTGGTGTATAAAAACATGTTAACACTTCACTGTACGTACAATTTTGTTTTTTAGGCTTGATTGACTTCCGTTAATAAACATTTTTCACTGATATGCCTGAGGCATCTAGCACAAGGTCATCAAGCAATAAATATTTGGAAAACAAGCAAGTAACCACTGTTAAAATGTTGCTATCAACAATCAACCAACACTGTCGACAAATGTAGATTTTAATTTTCTCTCTGTAAATGTTTTTAACTTCTATTTAAGGTTTTTCTCTGGACTTGAACTTATATTTACACAAATTAGAAAAAAAGGGGGGTGTTCAAAAACGTTTGACCGGTTGTGTATTTTTCATCCGATTAGTGAAACTGAAGAACCATCTCAAACCACTCTTACTGCAGTTCCAAACAAAGGAACAAAAGTAGTGTTTTCTTACTAAAGACTGACTTGCTGTGTGCCGTGCCTCTCCACAGGACCGATGAACTGATCCAGAAAACCATACGGGACAAGTTCAGAGAATGCACCGTGCTGACCATAGCTCATCGTCTCAACACCATCATAGACAGCGACCGGATACTGGTGAGTCCTCTCACTCAGGGATTCTAGTGTAAAGAAAGATACTTTAATTTCAAAAGTAAGATGAGAAGGTTCCCCTCACTCATGTCTGTTCATTAAATATGGAGTCAGTTAGTTTAGCGTAGAGAGAATCACTTGTCATTTGCAGCATGTTACTCGTCTAGAGTCGCATCTGTTGGTGTACAATCACTGCCCTTAGACTAGCTCCATACTTTAGGCACAGACATGAGATTGATGTTAGCATCTCGCACTCAAAAAGCAAAATTACTTAATTTTAGTTTAGAGTGAAGACAGATCCTACACTGCTAATGTTAAGCGTCACTGTGAGCAATGTATGCAACTCTGCACAATTCCCAGTAAGAGTAAAATCACACCAGTTGCAAACTTTGTTTTTGCTGCCCTCTGGTGGTTGAAGTTTGCATTTTGCAGCAGAGACATGCTGTTTCAACATTTATTCCTGTCTTACTACTAACAATTAGATACTAGTACTTCATTTTTAGTTACTATTCAATTAGTTACTTACTTACTAGTAACTATTTGTACATTGTTGCCATTGACATCTATGGTGCATAGCAGTTCAGATATCCATTTGTCACTAGTAAGATGGGTTGATACTCTGAATGGAATCGTTACTAGTAACTAATGAAGAGACGATATCTGAACTGTTATGCCCCATAGATTTCAATGGCAAAAATGTATGGCAAGCTGTAACGTTAATTTTTTCCTGAAAACATGTCTATTAAAAAGCTACTAGTAACAATTTATTAGATAGTAGTACTTGATTTTTACTACTACTTTACTAATTAGTTACTTGCAACTTTTAAATAGTGACTAGTAATTTTTAAGGAATAAATGTTATAGTACAGGTACATTTAAAAAAAAAAAAAATCGTGGAAAAGTTTTTCTTCTGTAATTTAACCCCAAAGTGAAACTTTCATATGTTCCTGATTCATTACACAAAGTGAAACATTTCAAGCCTCCTTTGTTTGTTTTCATCTAGATGATTACGGCTTACAGGGCATCTCAAAATGTATTAGAATAAAGAATTGATAATACAGAAATGTCGACCTAAGAAGAGCCTTAATCTTTAATCTCAGTCTGGTTCTGGTGCTCACAATGCACAAAACAACTTTTCCACAACGTTCATTTATTTTTTAGATGCACCTGTGTGGATCAGTATACCCACAAACCACAAGAGGGCAGCAAAGACGTTTGGAACTAGTATGACGTTACTGAAAATTGCTAAATGTGAAAGCTGTGATAGGAGGACCTCAGAAATGAAGTTTTAGCTTGATGTTTACACCCAAATTACAAGAAGTCTCTTTGTGGTATCTGGTTTCTACTCGTGCAAATAGATTTGGTTTTATTTGACCAGGTTGTGAGATTTCTGCCACCAGCCTGTACAATGGAGGTGAATGGGATTTCATGGGTGGACCTCACAGCTGTTGACAGCTTTCATTGGGACTACTGGCTACTAAAGAGTTAATCTAAGGACTAACGTCTCTGGACCACAAATGAAATCCCATTCTCTATTGTATTTAGGGTGGAGGCAGAAATCTTATATTTTCAAAACCCGGAAAAAAATAAAACCAAAACTATGCCCAACCTTCAATATCTGCAAGTCAACTAAAAAGGCACAGAGAGTTGAATTAATACACAGAAATCCATTGTCATCTCCAGGTTCTAGATGCAGGGAGAATTCATGCCTATGCGGAGCCTTACACGCTGCTTCAACAGTCAGATGGCATCTTCTATAAAATGGTGCAGCAGACTGGAAAGCAGGAGGCAGCAGCTCTATTAGAGGCAGCTAAACAGGTGATTTTTACTTTCTCTGTACACACTTAAAATTTGAAGTTTTTCTTACCTGAAGCTCTGACTTTCCAAACGATGTCTTCTCAGGCTTACGACAGTAGAAGCCATCCCAGCATATCAAACGGACACGCAGAAACAGCCGACGGTAACCTGGTCATCTTTGAGACCGCGCTGTGAGCTCAGGGAGGCTGCTGCGTTGCCGGAGGACTTCAGAAAGTGCCTGGGCTCGTGCTGCGTCCCTCCAGCCTCTGGTGAAAGCACACAGGGCCTGGATAGAAAGGCCTCATCCACTCCAAGCTGCTGACGAGACTGAGGACAGGATCTGCAGCGGCTCCGGCCCCAGTGTGGCCTTGAACGGCTCAGCCAAATATACGCACATAATGCTGTTTGTTTCCTTCAAGCTGAAAGAGCTTGGAAATCACTGCTGTTAAAGTTGTTGACATAGACCACTATTTATTTTCTATGCTTCACATTTATCGTACGTTAAATTACTGAGTATGCTGATGCTGCATAATCCAAAAAAACAAACTAAGTGCCTTAATTTCAGGTTTGCACATGTTGATTAACCAATGATATTGTAACCTCACTATCCAAAGCTGCCTTTGTTTGTGTAAATACAGGTAGTATTGTTGAACAGGATTCTGAGAACCAAATCTAACAAAGTACACAGTATCAGTAAAAATCAGTTTTGCACGTTGATATTGAAACTGATCTACAAATGTTGTTCAGCCTTTAGAAAAACACTATCTTTAGTAGTTCAATTTCCTTTTGATATTGTTCCTATTCACTCTGACTTTCAAGTTTACAGGGAGGAATCAGAACACAGCTCAGATGGAGTGTGTCGAATACATTTCTGTTGAAATTGTCTCATACTTTTGTTTGTTCGTTTCAACTGCCTATTTGTACATTTATTTTGTCAAATGCTGCATAAATGCCTCCAAATCTTACTTTGATGTCATGTGGATGAAAATAAATACCATATCTATAGTTACACAGAAAGCAAAAGGGTTTGTGTTTTTTCACCTTAAGCAATATTTCCCTTGTGGGCTCAGCAGAAAAGATAATGTTACTTTCCAGAATCAATAGACAGTTGTTGTGTTATGATCTTTATATGAGAAAGTGCAAGAGTACAGAAATGTGGGTTGTGACAGTTTGCATTAAAATTAAAAGGAATAGCACCATCTTTGGTGTACCTGAAGTTTCATAGTTGGACTTCGGATTTCCAGGACAGTAAGAATCACATATTCACTGAATCCTTCAAGTGTCATTTAGACATTTTGACTTGAAATTTCAACTTTAAAGACAATAGAAAACTCAACTGTCTTGCATAGCTTCAGTTCCATTCTTTATTACAGGTTACTACAAAAAAAAAAGCTTATTGTACTATTAGCAGGTTGATTTTGTTGGGTGGAGGCTACCTTTTAAAATAAATGACTACAGCCTCTCCTCAAATAATCTCTGGAAAAATGTGCCGTCTTCTTGTTTATGAGCGTGATGGAAGGCCTCAGGTGTTCTCAGATACTACCTACATCTGGAGTCTTGCTGCCTTTAAAATGTGAAAAATAATCCCTTCAGTAAAATCGTCATTTGAAATTCTAAATAACTGCTTATTATCTACACGTGCAAATTTAGGCTAATGAAGCCTTTTTTCTCCTCACCTGTCTGGCTGACTCCAGCAGGGCGGCTGCCTCGGCCTGGCCCATCTGTTGCACCATCTTGTAGAGAGCGCCCTCTTTGTTTTGCAGCAGGGTGAAAGGACGGTCCAACTCCTGGATGGTACCACTGTCCAGCACCTTAAAGCAGGATAAAGGCCACCATTAATTTAAATTTAACTTAATGCAGTAAAAAGCACACAAGATAAATATAAAGGACACAAACAGGAACAAATCAAGTATCAGCAAGTCTTTAAATACTGGACTGGAAATATCAAACTAGTTTCCATTCACTAGTTCACAATGCAGTAATCGAGTCCATCCAGCGTGTAAAAGGAGAATTTTGAGTAGTACTATGAACCAATTTAACCATTTCATAGTACAGTTACATGCATCAGAGAGAAGGGGCTTCTTCAATCAGTGTTCGTTGGTTGATCATTTCCTTTCAAAACCGAATCTTGGTTTTTCCATTTTAAAACCAAAACCAAAAATATTGATTGATTTTGATATTTAATTGAATGCGTCCGATTTGTGTAGCTTTGTGTTACACTTGGGCGATGGTGGTGCCAGATTAGTGTAATTAAGATGAGCTTGAACATCAACATAAGCGCCTTTTTAGTTAGGAAAAACGGAGGCTCAATGTTCGTTTGTAACTCATTAGCACCTGGGACAGGAAGTGGAACGCCTCAGAAGTTGCCTGAGAATCCTCCGGTTTTTAAGATTTCTTCAGTATCAAATTAATTATGTGATAGTTGTGAGTACTTCCAATGGTACACAGCAAACATGAACTAAATTAACGAATCATACACGGACTAAAATGTTTGGGTAATTTTCGTTCATTATTTAAATAGCACACCATGCTGGGCTCATTTATGGGGGGATTGTTTACCCCTGCCTCAAAGAGAAGACTTACTGTGACTCTTTCTGCAAAGAAACATTCATAGCTGCAAGCATGTAGGCCTAGTGATGAATGTGAACATTTCAAGCATTGTTTATTCCTATTATTACTAGGCCATTTTGCTATAATTAGTGTAGAGAAGACACTACAGCTGTGGCAGCCTCTCTACACTGTTTCAACACTGCGGAGAGCCTCGGCCTGCAGTAGCACATGGATCATGCGTAAAATCAGTAGCGTCAGACTTCATCCAGCCAGAGGGAACGACCACTAGTGCGCCGTTTCCACTGGCAACACAAGGGTGTCACTTTGTGTTGAAAAGTGGTGGGGACATAGGGGCTCAGATTAGGGGTGTGAAGAGACACTTACAGTACGCGATATTAGGTTCACAAGAACCAGACAAAAAGATCCTTAAACAGTGTTTTAAAGATATTAGTGGGGGGTCTGGGGGGACCTCTCCCAGTAAAGTATGATCATTAAACACTTAATTTCCTGCATTCTGGTGAACATTTGTGCACCAATTTATGGTGTATGTGTTTTTATTTATGAAAAAGGAAACAAAATTATAAAAGCTCATTCATCATGAGCTGAACTCAAAGATCTAAGACTTTCTCTATGTACACAAAAGGCCCATTTCTCTCAAATACTGTTCACAAATCTGTCAAAATCTGTGTTAGTGAGCACTTCTCCTTTGCCAAGATAATCCATCCACCTCACAGGTGTGGCATATCAAGATGTGCCTTAGGCTGGCCACAATAAAAGGCCAAAAAGAAACTGCGTCAAGAAATTGTTAAAGTTACTGATTGGTGCATGCACATTTTTGGGTCATCAGTAGCTTGTTTTTTTTTAACTTAAAGTACCTGTTTTTGGTATACTTCTACATTTGAATTGCATTGCATTTTTTCCTAATGTGCAAATAAGCCTTTCTAAAGGCATTTTCATTTGTTATTTAACTGCAAGCTACTTTAATAAATTATGTTTATTATTAGTAGTGGGAACAAAATCAGCCATTTCAAAAAGTGGTGAGGACATGTCCCCATGGTCTCCAGTATAAATGTGGCAAAAATTGTTTTTGCTCTAGTGAGTTCGAACCCAGCTTGACACGATT